TCCTCGATTGGTCAGCTTGCGAACGGAGGGAGTGGTCGAGCGGTTGCTGGTTATATCGATCTCTCGAATTGTGCTTGCTTCTCTACGAACGAAGCGAACTAGACAGGTTGCCGCATTGGCGAATACGTGAGATTCGTGCTCTCTTCGCGCGTTGTTTTTTATCCTTTTTCAATCTTTCGATTTAAAATCTTGCAATTCTTGATATTTTTGCATTATTTTTTATATATTTTTATATAAAGACTGTGTGAAGGCATGAGATATATATCCCTAAATTGAAGCTTTTATTTTATACATATAAAAGATGTTTTAAAGCTTCGCGTTTTAAAATCAAGAAGTGTAAAATTCTTATTTGCAATTGTCAAGTCTAGATATCCTGCATTATTGGTTTCCTCTATCATGTTTTTTTTTGTTCTTTGATCTCCTCGCGTCTCTCGTTACACAGAATGTAAAACGAAGACGATCACCTTTCTGCCTGCGACCGCTTGAAAATCGCGTTCGACGTTTAGAAACAAGGGCATCGAGATTAAATTAAATCGAACACCCTCGCTCTGCAAAAAGTGAGGACTCGACCCTTTGCCATCCCTTCACCGGCGAGGGATGCGCGCAAGGGACGAGCATTGTGATGACCCTTATCAATGGGGGGAAGGGTCAGACCCTCGCCGTCTGGAATCCAATATACTTGAACTCGTTGTAAGCCTGGTCGACTGGCGCCCCTCTTGAACCCGTATGCACTGATGAGCGACTATTAATTACAAATTAAACCTCTCAAATCTCCAGGATCAGCGACGTGTGTTGGACGCAATATTGCACGTGTCGAACCTGCCTCCTTCCTCAGATCAACTCTAAATGAAAACGGAAAAACCACTTGTAAAGACAAAAGATCTGTTTAAGATCTTTCAGCTCAGAACAATCAAAATCTCATCAAATTCTTATTCTAATAAAGATAAAAAGAGATTATTGTATATCATATGAATAGAAGTATATACATACAAATAGAATGGTTTTAAATATTTAAAAATTATTTTATGCAAAATTGAAAACAATTTCCTTTGGACTGTCAAAATAATTATGCAGAAAACAAATTGTTCAAACAAATTGTTAGAATATTGAAACTTTTTGCAGCATTATTATCAACGCTTAAGCATTTTATATAACTATTTTATTAGTCCAACAAAATTATTTTCAGGTTTGTATTTAGTTAAATTTTTAGATATTTTAGCAAAACCGTTCTTTTACGTGTAATAATATTAATTATCAAATTTCAATTATCAAATATTAAATTATCAAGAACGGTACTATATATGTTTGATAAGAGAAAAAATGATGGAAATAAAAATTTTTTCGATGAGGATTATATTTAAGGATTAAGTATAATAACTAAAATTGATATTTCGGCACATTCAGTTGTTATTTCACTCTGGGAATTAGATGTGATCGTATCCCTTGTGTCTTGCTGCAAACACAGAGGGTGACTTCGTGGCAAACGTAATATGGCAAACATCGAGCAATATTATCCGGGTTATTCGACACACCATTTACCAAGCTGTCCCTTACCTCGCCATTTTCCCAGCACCCTGGGCTATATATCGGTTTCGCATATACCTACGGCGAATATGCGTTATATGTATAAGCAACTCGCATAAATTGTCCTAGCCGGTGACACTTATGGCGCATTACTCGGTATTCGCGGTGTCGCAGGATGTATTGAATTAGGATGTCCTCTCACGAAGATTATACGCCGGCGTTTCTATTCAGAATTTCCGTGAGAGATTGACGATGTCACAAGAATTACCACGATGACCACTCTGAATTATTGCGTTTCTCAATAAGAGACTTTCTATTATTAGTAAAATAATTGTGAAGAAGAGCTATAATTTTAAAATAAATTTGATTTATTTAGAATATTATATTATTAATATAATTATTCTTTTTCGATGTGATGATTTTATTAATAATTATATTATTATTATTATTATTTTTGCCAATAAATTATATATATTTCAAGAACGTGATAAGACGAAAAAATACTAAATATTAATTTATACTATTTAGCTCAATTGTCATGATTTTTGTATGGACTTTGTATAAAGATAACGTTTCGTGAGAAAGGCGCGTACCGCGTTTATCATATTCTTAAGAAATACAGAACGGGATGTTTCTGTTTGAAACCTCAAACGCACACAGATCAGCGAATACAAAGTTATGGACGGACGCACCTGTTATGAATGTTCCAACATTCAATATCGCGATATCAAAGAGCATTGCGAGATCCCGCGCGAAGGAATTCCCTTTTAGTTCTACCGACAAAGAAGTGAGGCGTACAAACTCCAAGGAAACCGGCGAAACGAAACGTTCTGTCAGAAATTACCAAGAATTTCTCCTCTACGTTTACTAAAATTTCAATCACGCAAAATAACATTCTAAATAAATTAACAGAGTCAAGGTCACGATAATCTACAATTTAAATGGAAAAAGCGTACAATTCTTGTAGATACTTTCATCTTTCACCCGTTAGATAAAATTGTAATCGCGATTAATTTATATATAATATGTATAAATCATTGTATAAGACATCGTTACATTTTTAACTTATATTAATTATTTTCAACCAAATTCGAATTTGTGTGTGTGTGTGTGTCATATCTAAAGTATTTTCTAGTATTTCCTAGTTTAAAAAAAAAATTTCGACAAATATACAAAAATTTTTTCTTTATCAGATTTATTATATTATTGAAAACATTACACAAATTTTTAATATTCTTTTAATAAACACTTTATTAATCCTTTCTATATACGGAAAGGATGATTTTATTGAATCTAAAAATTTAACTAGATACTTCTGAAAATAATTTTGTTAGACTATCAAAATAATTATGTAAAACGCTTAAGCGTAATAATAATATTGCAAAACAATATTGCAGAAAGTGTTGATATTCTATGGCATCCTACATAATTATTATAACAATGTTTTTTTACATAATTATTATAACAAAATTATTTTTAAGTTATAGATTTAGTTAAATTTTTAGATATTTTAATAAAAATTCGTTTTTTTCCGTATACATGTTCTTTGTATGCTAAATTAAGAATGAAAATGCTACGAATTCGTTGATCAACAGTCAATTTATAATAATTTCTAATAATGTGTGTGTGTGTAATAATTTATAAATATTTTCAATAATACATAGATTGTATTAGGTACATAAAACCTCGTACAAAACAAGATTTTATTTCAAATATAAATTCATCATCGTATTATACATTTCTGCATAATAGTCGAGCTGTCGCAATAATTTTCGAGGATTGTTTCCTTTTTTCCGTCGATACCTTTCTTGATCATTTACCGGTTCAGTGACTCTCTCGATCAAATAATACTTTGCGTTCCATGCGATGTCGACAATCACTCACACGATCGAACTCTTTGTGTTTGCACTCGCGTATATGTGTATGTGCGTGAGTGCGCCAATATGGCGACGTATCATGTATCTCACGTTGCTGACTTTGAAGCAGGTAGATCCGTCCACGTGCCGACACGTGTGTATCGATGGATACAAATTTAATCTCCCGTATCACATGTTGGCAATTCACGATATCGAAACATCGATCTGTTGTACGATAATCGAAGGCGCGGCTCGCTCAATCCGATCAGGAAATATTAAAGAAGAAATATTGGAAAGAGAGAATTTTGAAAATATAATTTATTGTTTTAGATATATTCTTTGATCGTTGTAGTAATTTAATTCAACAATATATTTAAGCAACAACATTTTTACATTATTCGCTTTTTTATTTAAAATCTTCTGAAATAATCATTTAATTAAATAAAATAAATCCGAAATTATTAAATTACGCCAGAGTTTGTGTTCAATTTTAATCGAAGATATTGCTTTTAATAATTAATATTTTATATGAGTATTTGAAAAGTTTTACAAAAAAGTATATATAAAGCTGCGGAAAAAATTATTTTACTCAAGTCGTTTTGTTTTGGCGATAGTGAGAATATTAAACATTGCTTTGTAAAACGTACTTTTAAAAAATAAAAATTAGAAAATCATGCTATTATCAGATATCTTATAAAAAAATATGTCATTATCATCGTATGAAATTTATGTAGATATAATAACATATATATATTATTACAGAATATTTGATAACTGCATGATATTTTAATTTTTTTTTTTAAACATTTACTGCAAAAATAAAATAAAACAATTTGTCAGAGAGAATGCAATAAAATTTCACCGATGATATTATAAAAAATGATGTCATAAAATCAAGCACTCTCTCTAGCGTTATCTATGTATTGATTTGCAAAACTTTTCAAACATTCCTTGTATGGAATGTTGCATACGAGATAACATTTATACTATTAAACTATATATTTGATGGGTATACAATAAAATCGCGCCTTCTTAAACAAGAATGCTGTATCGGCGACGATGATCTGTTGATTCACTCTTCGGTATAACGAGATAAGAGATAAATTCGATCACAAGGAATATGAGATCTTAACTGGTCGATCTCATGACATCAGGCCCCATTTGTCCCTTCGTTCATTCGTTCATCGGTTTGTCCGTGTTGCTCAGCGGGTGCCATCACCAGTTCTGCACCCTCGCATCCGTCATAACGTTGTCTCTTCTTTTATTACTACCGATAAATAATTTCGAGCAACGACAAGAGACGTCTTTCAGATCGGAAAGCAGTTTGAACCAGCTGATCACTTGTATAACATTTAGAAATTTTTTACTAAGTGCCAGAAACCTTTGTATTGTAAGATTGATCTTTTACTTTTAAGCATTTCAAAATCTAAGAAATATAGAATTAAAAATAGTAAAGTCTTTAATTTTATGTATATATGTATAACAGCATTTAAACTTCAAATATTGTATAAAAAAAAAAATATATATATATATATCGAATATATATTAATAGATTTAATGAATTATATATTCAATAACATTTTTCTCTCTTATTCGCTGTTGCAGGACTCGAATCTCAAGTTCAGGATTCCAAGGACCTCTACTGGTTCTAGGATCGAGCGTTGGAGATCGGCAGCAGGCATGCGGTTTCCTTAAATTTAGAAGTCGATTGAAGGACTGTATTTCAAGTAATAAGAAAATTTAATAATACGATCTGATGATGTGGATCGTATAGACATGAATGTGACAGGAACGAGGACTTTGTTAAGCAAAAATGACGACTGAAATATCCGTCGTTGTCATGTACATAGTGTTACCTACATATTTTAAGGATCTACTATTAGCGTAAAGATAATATTAGACGAATACTTGCGCGCACTATTACCTTTATAGTGACTGCTGTGTCTGGCGTCGAAGAAAGGATTGGCCGTGAAAACGCGACCGAGAATCGTCTTCAACTGATACAATAGTGTAGTGCGATTTAGACCGTCAAGGTACACCTAAATTTCCCAAATAATTAATATCTTCGATTTTTTTTTCTTATTTAAAACATTAAATTTGTGAATTTGATATTTAAAAAGTTCGAATTTTTTTAATTTATATCAGTACTACTAGAATTATAAAATAATTATTTGGCAAATTTAGCTGCCGACTTAAGTGAAGTATTTATTGACCAATGATCTTGCCATATATATAAATATATTATTATTAAT